AAACAAGAGTAGCTCAAGAGTTGGCGGTGGTCATTATCTACTTTCAACGTAGATAACCATTCTTTTCACACCCTGTATTGTTACACAAACTGAAACACGAAGTACAATGATAATATGTCACACTCTAGATTCATGTATTGTAGTACACATTAATCTTCGAAAGTGATAATTGTAATAAGTAAACGCATGTGAGTTTTAGCCTAAACCCTAGTCAAAGTCTCAAAAAATAAGTTATTATTATTATTATTAAACACAAAGCTACAAAATGTGCTCTGCCCACCTCGGGTATCGAAACCCGAATATTTAGTGTTGTCAGCTATGAGACTTACTGCTGAGCTACCGGGGGGAGGGGTACACAAAAGAAACACAGATGAAATGGGATGTTGTTATATTTAATGTTGTCGGCTACGAGACTTACTGCTGAGCTACCGGGGGGAGGGGTACACAAAAGGAAAACAGATGAAATGTGACGTTGTTAAAAGCTTTCTTTAACAGGTGTTTATACAATTTATAGGGGGAGACATGTATGTAAGAAACACAAAAACATGAGAAATGTTTTCTAACATGAAACTGTATTATGTATTTTGTAAGGGTATACACTGATGTGTGTGTGTGTATCGAAGTATTTTAATGACAACTTTCACACAACAAGTGTATAGCAGGTCTTATAGAATTGCCAAGGTATAGCTCTAAAAAAAAAGCTGCTAAAAATATAAATAACCTCCCCTCTATTGTACCACATTCATTAACAAGTTAATGGAATTTTAAAGTATGTACGGAGGTACTTTCAATGTGTTAAAATATTCCGATTCTACAGTTCCTGCTAAATGTCTTTTAGAAAAGTGTTTAAAATTTCATTACCAGAAACACTTTTATATAAAATTTTCACTAAAGTATCGACAATCTGAGATTAAGTCTAAAATACTATGTTCAAGCAAACAGAAAAAATATATATGAACCACACTGAACCAACAAAAAAAAAATGTTTAAATCTGCAGAATAAATATTTGAGAAACGTCTGGAGGCAGGAATATATAAATCAATTCTGTATAGTGTGGTTCTTGATGTGATTGTATATAAAACTGGTTGGAAACGAAGCAGGACTTGGTGGATCTGCAGGGCTTCGTGGAAGTAGAAATGACATTTTGGACGCTAACAATGCTTTGGTTACTTAAAATTCAAATCCGAATTAAACCATTTCATTGATTGAAATTACCAGTTCGCCAGGCCTATTGTTCGTGTACGAACACATTTCAAATCAACCCGGTGTTGACAAGTTTTAAACAAAAGTCAGTCTTCACCTATTAGTATGGAATTATGTTTCGGTAACTTAAGCTTCTATTGTTCTTCTAATAAATGTTTTTATGGCAAATTTTTAAAATATTTCTATAACTATTTTTTTTTTTGCCTCTACATCTTTAATGTGACGCCATCTGGCGCCCCTATAGAAACTCAAGTTGACTGACGTTCGAAGGTTTTATTAACCCAAATAAATATCCACGATAAAATCGTCCGTCATTCGCGACTGGTACGATGGAGGTTGGAGATGAGTGACGGAAGAAGACCGACAACGCTTCCTTTCATATTTTTAGGAACAATGGAAGCTTTTAGAACTAGCTTGAGGAGGTGGATAGTTACAATGGAAGCTTATAGAACTAGCTTGAGGAAGTGGATAGTTATAAGTTATTATGTATTCAAAAACAGTCGCACAAAGTTTAACTGTTTCGTAATAAACGTAAGTGTTCGGGGGTGGCCTAAAGAATAGAGCGTCGGGCTGCGGAATGAAAGGTCGAAGGTTCGAGTCGCGATGTCGCTAAACACCCTACGAACTTTCATCTGTAAGCGCTTTTTAAAAATGACAGTTGGCTACGTTATTTGGTTCAAAGAGCCGAACGAAATCATCCTGGCAGCGGGTATTACTCTCTGGCTGCCCGGCCCCCTAGTCAAAGTCTCAAAATTAGGGACTGCTACACTAGTACTTTT